ACCACAAATAGGAGTAACACCAGATGTATTCCATCTATCCATCGTCAATTGCTTATCCTGCATACACGGGGGGCTGGAGTCAACCCCAGCCAACCCCCTGCATCGGGCAAAAGGCAGGGTACACCCTGGACAGGTTGCTAATCAGGGCCACACATAGACAAACAACCACACTCACACCAAATGACAATTTAGAGTCACCAGTCAACCTAGTCCGCATGTCTTTGGACAGTGGGTGGAAAGACATGGGGAGAACTTGTTGTGAGGCCACAGTGCTATCCACTGGACCACTGTGCCGCCCACCAGATGTACTGTAAAACTAAAAGTTGATTCACAAAGGTATAAACTTTCAATTTAGTTACAACTTCTCTCGTTCCAGAAAGAAACAGTATCATTGTAAGGTCAATATGAAGAACTTCCTTTGTCGACTTTACATAGTTCTTTCAGTGATTAATTTAGTTACAGAAACACAACATTAACCTGTTGCGGGCTTTGTCCGCTCCTGTCACCTCCAAGTTCCCTCAAGGCCAGTGCAACTAGTGCTCCTTTGCTGAAATACTTTGAAAGCAAAATTAATAAAGCTCCTGAAACTAGATTTTGGCACTGAGTCTCTTCAAGTCATGGCCACAAACTTATCTAATAATGCAGGACCAGCCTCGGTTCATGTTTGATATTAGTGATGCAGATTTCCACCAAATTTAAAATGACCAACTTACATACTGAATGAGCTGACACTGAGTATACATAATAAAGTGGACTATAATATAGCATAAAAGAACATAGAAAGATTCAAACAGACTTTTTTGGTTCATGGAAATTTAAAACATGTTTCAGGAATAAACGCGGTGATTAGATCTCTGCCCTTCTTTTTGAATTTTGAGTTATTCACAATAAAAAGAAGGTTATTGAATATTTGAAAATGAGTCTATATGCTTGCATCTCCACAGCTCCACTAGCCTCATTCAAAAAGAAAAAAGAAATTTGCTATTTCAAAAATAACTTTCGGTTTGATTATAGGTGCAAATGGATCTGAGGCAGTCTTGTTTCTTTCAGCTGAAAATTACAGAACGTTTCAAATCAAACTATTCTTATCTTCGACCAAATTGGACAGAGGGGTTTTCATGTGTCTGTCTGTTCTCATCTAGATCGCTGCATCAACCTCTATTTTTACCCCAGTTTAATGTTCCTGTCAGCCTCCAGCTTGTTCAAAATGGGTTTTAAAATACTCCTCATGACTTCTGTCTTTGCTTCCCACCGTTGGGTATCCATCACTTTCAGAGTTGATTTCAAGAGATTACTAAATGCTGTGTGAAGTCTGGCATCTTGCTGCCTTTCAAATCCTTTCACCTTACATGAACCAAATCGTAGACAGTGATCCTTTGGCACAGAGTCATTTTGCCATTAGCATCAAAAGCAGCCTGAGGGAATTAATCAATCAAAATCACTTTAGTTTTTTTTTTTTAAATAACTTTGCAAGACACACTTCCAACAACTTATTTTTGGTCATTGTTATTCATGTTTTAAATCTCAAGTTGGCTGCTGTAGTTGTATTACTTTCAGGTTTCCACTCGCCCATTCACTCACATATACATATATATCCCAGTAATTTGTAAATTATATTAAGGTATTTCTAACATGCATACTTGTCAAGCTTAAACTCTGTCTTAGCCACATGGATAAATAATACTTTAGTGCAGACTTGTTTTTACACATGTAGTTTTCTGGTGATTAGCAGTCAGGGAAGCATAACACATGTAAAATATAGAGCATATGACACACCGCAATTACAAGTTGACATCCAAAGCAGCTGTCAAATTGTTAGCCATATGAGTTCAATACCCGTGTTTCATACTGCAGGTTAGCATTTATGTGATAATAATTTTATCCTGGATTTGTTTTAGTTTACATCCTACTTTTTTACTATTTATTCTGTTATTTTAATTCATTCTTGTATCCTATTTTACTACATCCATTATATATTTGAGCATGTGCTTTATTTTATCCCTTAAAGCACTTTGTACTCTATAAAAATATTTATTATTTTAAAATGCCATTATGTGTGATTCACAGGTTTGGTGAAAACTGTGAATATGGTAATTGCAGTACTTTAGAATAGTGTGAACAAAACAAGCACCTTTCTATAAAGAAACAGGAAACAAAACCCCAGTGAAAAATCCATTGACGATGACAAAAAAGAAGTTGGCATTACATGACAACGTGAAGCTTGGAAAATATGTCTCTGATTCCAGGACCATCAGCACCGGTTCACCTCAAGGCTGTGTTCTTTCCCCTCTGCTCTTCTCCCTGTACACCAACAGCTGCACCTCCAGTCACCAGTACGTCAAGCTCCTGAAGTTTGCGGATGACACCACTCATTGGGCTGATCTCTGGTAGGGATGAGTCCGCCTAGAGGTGGGAGATGCAGCCAGACCAATATGGAGCTCAACGCTCTGAAGCCAGTTTAGATGGTCGTGGATTTTAGAAAGAGCACAGCCCCACCTTCACCCATCATCCTGTGTGACTCCTCCATCGCCACTGTGGACTCCTTCCGCTTCCTGGGCACCATCATCTCCCAGGACCCTAAGTGGGAGCTGAACATCACCTCCCTCACCAAGAAGGCCCAGCAGAGGATGTACTTCCTGCAGCAGCTGAAGAAGTTCATCCTGCCAAAGACAATGATGGTGCACTTCTACACTGCCATCATTGAGTCCATCCTCACCTCCTCCATCACCATCTGGTACGCTGCTGCCACTGCCAGGGATAAAGGCAGGCTGCAGCGTATAATCCGCTCTGCAGAGAAGGTGATTGGCTACAATATTCCATCACTTAAGGTACTGTACGCCTCCAAGACTCTGAGGCGAGCAGGAAAGATCGCAGCTGACCCCTCCCACCCTGGAGACAAACTGTTTCAGACTCTCCCCTCTGGCAAGAGGCTACGGCCCATCAGGACCAAAACCTCTCGCCACAAAAGCAGCTTCTTCCCATCTGCAGCTAGCCTCATTAACAAGACCCGGGTCCCCCGCTGACACTCCCTCCTTTCAAATAATACAAATGTCCCTGCACATGTAAATCTTATTTCATTTCATTTCATACCATGCATAAACCTGGCACATTGCACATATTTGTTGTTAATTGTTAATGGTTGTTAATGGTCTCTTCCGTTGGAATACGTCTGAACAACACAAACCCAGAGTAATCCACATATAAATATCTGCAACATTGTTCTTTCTGTGCAAATAGTTGTATTATAACTTGCATTGTTTATTCCCTATTTATATATTTCTAGATTTATTTATGTCAACTGCATGTTTGTCTACGTGTATAGCACCTTATCACCAGAGCAAACCATCAGGTCCTCACTCGATTATTCATTACTCTGCGTTGTCAAGGTGTGTGTGTCATTTTAGGAAATGCCAACAGATTTGATAATGATGCTGTTTTGTAAGTAAGAAATCAGTGTGTCTGAGTGTCCCTCTATCCAAAAAGGCCAATCTGAATATCTATCACTGAACACAGTGAAGATAAATGATCACTTCATAACACAGCTAAAATCCAGGTTGCAGTGCAGTGCATTATTAATTTCACTCAGCCTGTGAAAAACTCTCATTCATCCTTGCCTAAAAATAAATCTGTAATACACATTTGTCACCAAAAGAGGTCAGCAGAATCCTTTTCATAACAATGCGATTGGCCTAATCATCAGTGATCATTAGCAATTAAAACGCAACTGAAGCATCTGCGGTAATAACAATGCAGACGCCCATAATCTTCAGTACATGTACTTTGGTTAATCACCATTTCAGTCACTAATATTAAATGTTGCTTTGTAAAAGAGACATTAGCCATATTATTTGAAATCATCTGAACATACTTGCTGCTGGGCTAACCCTAGGATGTAATAGACCCTGATCCCAAAACCATGTCCTTGATTACCTTATTCAGACAAGATGTGCAAAGTTCAAAACACTAACACACGGTTGGTGCTATTATTCTTCAGACCATGGTGTGATGAATATTTCTCCAGCATGTTTTTTGTGTCTGTTCTTGGAGATGGAGCTGATGAACATGTGAGGCACAGTTGAATTAGAGAGCAGCCAGTAATGAGTTAACAGTATTCCTCTAATTTTCTTGGTGTCATCATATGGCCTTGTGTGTTAAATCATGTTAAATGAACCAATGTTTTTAGAAACACATTCATTTAAGGGTGCTGCATGGGGAAGGTTACTACAATGGTGAAGAAAGTCATGCTTTAGTTACCATGACAACGTGGATTTTGGTGAGGAATTTATTTTGTGCCAAATTACTTTCTCCCTGACTTCTGACATTTCCAGCCTTCAACAAACAAACAGCCCAACAAAGCTGATCAATGGCAGTCAAAAAACACCCATCAGGTATTTCAATTATAACTGGCATAGGGATGGGAAGTGCCCCTGTGAAAAATCAAAATGTAAAAATCCCATCATTTTTATATTGTGTAATCTGACTCAAATTGAAAGGTTTACGAATTAAGATCTATTAGGCCACCTACACTGAAGTTTAAGTCCAGGAAAATAATTACTATGCTGATGTCATTGCTGTCCAGTGAAACCCTGTTTCTCCAAATCATTATACAAACAGGTCTATTTTTAATGTTTCGATTGGACTTTCTTTTTGATAATCCAATGGGTCTTTAAACAGTCGGTTTAACTTAAGAAGTGAGAGATTTTGAAAATATTCTCATCCCCCAAAGGAACACTTAATGAAACCTCCGGTTTATCCAAATAACTCTTAACAAATTTTTCAATATTTCCATTTGTTTTGATGAAACCATAGTTAGGTAAAAAAAATATATCATGTCCAATAACAGTAAACAACAAACAATCTATTTGCACAATCTCATTCACTCACAGTATTTACAGTTTGTTGCAACGTTTGTGAACAAATGTTTAGAGATACAGAAAATCTCAGACTCCTCCCTGAGGACGATATCTCCTGTCAGTCCTCCCCTCCGCTGGAAAAAAACACTCTCGTCTTCCTATCTACATCAGCGGCACTTCATCCTGATGACAAAAGCTGTTCGATACTGCGTGGAGTCTGACTTGAGAGCTGTGATTTTTAAATGTGTATGGTTATATTTGCTCCGGTAAGTTTCATGTATCTAGTCTTGTGATTTCTTCTTTTATTTATTCATTTTAGTTCTAACGATGTCTGCACCTGCTCACTGACAATGCCTGCTACATTGTATGAATTATAATACCAAGTATGATCTTGATCTTTTTGATCCATTTCATGATTTGCTGATTGAACAATGACTTGATGAAATGCCTGTTTGGTTTTACATCAGTGCAGTGGAGTTAATGTAATGTGTACCACATATTTAGAAATAAAGAAAAATCTATTTAAAGTAAATGACACAGAGTAAATCTTTCATTCTTTATATGAATATTTTGCATAAGAACTATGAAGATAAAATTAGTTGTGACTTGTGTGTTACATCTTCAAACTGAGTCTTGCTGTGCTGCTGCGGCCACCCTCCAGCACACAGTAAGCAGCTCTGTTAGTTGTCTTCCGACCTTTAAATTATTCAGGTTTTGTTTTCAAACTAATTATAAATCTCAATAATCTGTCCAGTAATTTATTGATGTGTTTACATGCAGTAAGTTGCACACACGGAACTGATACTGGATGAAGCAAATGTATGAATTATTAATAGCTGCTGATTCTTTTATGATTATTTCTTGTTTTTATACAGATTTTTGCCATCTGTGCTTTCGCAACATGTGGAGGATACTATGGACACCTCCAGGTTAAAGTGGACTGTGCAGACAGGAGGCAGAGCAACCTCAGCATCAACATTGATTTTGGCTATCCTTTCAGGTAAGGTGGTTGTTTGTGCTTTCTTCCACTTAGTGGCTCTTGTTTCAAATGCCCAAACATCTAAGACAGAGCAATTTCACCGAAAACTCCCATGATACATATTTATTTCTCTTATTCACAATTCATTTTCAATTTATCTAATTTAATGTAATCATTTAATCTGTGACAATTAATAAGCACATAATCTATTTACATGTTTTGATTTAGATCATTTTATACCAATTTTAAACATGAATTAACAGGCTAATTGACGAAGAGGAAAGATTTGACTGGACACCCAAAACAATGCTTTCACACTTACTAAAGGTGTCCAGAGTGATCTTCACTACATATTTCAGGAAACTGGTCACCCACATGTGGAAAAAAAAGGATTTAAAAGCTGCACAGCTTTACTTCATCATCTTGTCAGGCTCAGCGGAGAGGAGCTGTTCTCCCTTAAAGCTTGCCCAATTTAAGAACAGGAAGCTAGACAGCTGAGCAGGAAGCCAGCCAAATTTAAGATCTCCAAGTCTAAAATGTTTGACTGCATCATCAGATAAACTGTACCTGGAGTCCAATCAGTCGAGACTTAACCTCAGGTGGTTCCTTACAGCACCACATCTTTCTTTGCAGCATGTACCTGCAACTCGATGTAACTAATGAGCTGATGAGTATCAAAAAATGGTATCTGTCTCGTCCCTATTTCATTTTGACTCCTGCAGACCTGAATGTACTCAGGACCATCAATATATAAAGACACATGAACAAGGAGTGCAGCAGTTTTACTATTTATCTTAATATTCCATTTCTTTGGATGTTGAGATTAGATTATAATAGACTGTATGGTATTTGCCTTTCAATTCTACAGATGTTGAAAAAGTAAATAACGTCCTTGTTCGGAATTACTTTCACTTGTCTAAATAATGTCTGGTTGTGAACTCTCTGGTATTGTGGTGCAGCAGTGTGGTCAACCACTAGCCATACGCTGTCCTTTAGTCTGTGTCAATGATGGCCAAGTGTCTAATTAACAGTTCAGCTGACTTGACGCTGGTGTCTGTGTGTTAGGTCACTGGTGCCCACTGTAGTCATGGATAAATGGCACATTTACCCAAATGGCTTCCTACAAAATGTTAGTATTTTTCAGTTATTTTGAAACGTTATGTTAACTCTAAAGTAATACTCTAATGTAATAAAGTATAAATGTTAAATGGAGCTTTCATGTTTTAAGAAATGTAATTACTTCCAAGACAATACAAGAAAGACGTGTGTGTGTGTGTGTGTGTGTGTGTGTGTGTGTGTGTGTGTGTGTGTATTTTTAGATGTATATAAAAACTATTTGCATCTAAATATAGTTTTCCATAGTTCATATCAATGATGAAAGCAGCATAGTCCAATTTTTGCTTAATTTTCATCAGAAGAAAGTTGATTTCCAAAGTGCAACCAGCCATCGACCACTGAATTAGCTGCCAAGCAAGCAAATAGCAAAACTGCCCCAGTACTATATTGTCATTTTTTATTGTTTGCATTTATAACAAGCAGATATAAACTGTGCCCCACTTCAACCCACATTGACCAAACCCTCTGCAAACCTACAATTAAGTAAATATTGCCACAGTGACACAGTACTCACTTACATGATACAGCAAGTTGGAAATGATCTAAGACTGAAACTAAATATTTATAAGATTATAAGATTCCACCCACCATCTGCCCAATGAGTTTATGATTTATATTTAAAACAAAATAAATTGTCTGGAAAATCCTGCCATTGAATGTCATCATTAATCATCATTGTGTGTTAAACTCAATAGCGCCCATTTGTCCCTTTGTTACTGTCTGAAAGTGAGATTGGGAACTGTTTCACACTTCAGATGATACAGTATAGCTTCCCTATGTCCCCCAGAAACACACAGACTTATTTTCAGTAAAGTACCACAAGGTTTCTCAGCTGTATATCTACGCTTATTGAGCTTGCACCTTCCTTTTTTAGCCACAAGTTGTGCTAATGAAAGTGCTCTCAAAGTGCCGGTGGCTTAATGTTTCCTGCAGACTGAATCTCCTCACATGTCAGTTTTATGACAACCTTTTATCCCCCCATTCACTGTCAACCTCCTGTTTCTGTCTTGTAGATTACAAGAAGTGCATTTCAAGGCTCCCTCATGTGAGACTAAGAGAGAAGAGATTCTTTTCCTGGATGGTGACTTTTCCTCAGCCGCCCAGTTTTTCCTGACTGTGGGTGTTTTTGCTTTCCTGTACTCTCTGCTGGCAACCATTGTCTACGTCTTCTACCAGAACAAGTACCTGAAGAACAACAGAGGCCCACTTGTGGTCAGTGAGTTTATACTTTTAACAAACATTCCTGGAAAGAATTAGATTCAGTACAGTGTGATAGTGTTTGTATTTGTTTTATTTCCGTGTGTGTGACTTCTCTTCATGTCCTCTTTCCATTCTTTTGTCCCGCGCAGGATTTTGTTGTTACAATCATCTTCTCCTTCATGTGGTTGGTGAGCAGCTGTTATTGGGCTAAAACTCTTTCTGATATCAAGAAGGCTACAAACCCAACACAGGTGCTTCTGCTGATCACAGCTTGCAGAGCTCAGGAGAACAAATGTACAGCTACCCAGGAGCCTCTCTGGTCACGTCTTAACACATCTGTGGTAGGTACTCAGCTGAGGAATGAAGCACTGACGCACAAAACTGGATAAAGCAAGCAATTTACACCTGTCCCTTCTTCTATCTCCAGGTTTTTGGTTTTGTAAATGTCATCCTCTGGGTTGGAAATATCTGGTTTGTCTTTAAAGAGACAGGTTGGTACAAGACAGGTCAGAGATATCCAACCAGGAGTGCTTCTGGGAAACGTGCCAGTGAAATGCGACAGCGGCTCTACAATGAGAGCAGCTTCGACCAGCCAGAGGAGAGCTTTGGTCCACAACTCTCCCGACAAGACAGTTTCAATCAGTCAAAGGGGGGGTTTGGTCAGCAGGTCCACAGACAGGTTAGCTTCAACCAGTCACAAGTAAACCTGAGCTTACCGCATGCATATCTTGGCAAACCGGTAATTTATGACAGGGAGAATATGGTGGGTTCTGAAGGGCCAAAGATATTTGTCAATGAGATGTGATTCTGCCCTCAGTTTAATGCTGTTCGTGGTGGACTAGATGGGAACATGTGTTATTGGCATAAACACAGTCAATTGGTCAAAACATGATAATTAACTTAAGATAAAAAAGAATACACTGATGGATCTATTTGACATGTGGTGGTCATAATGTAAGATAATTTAATTTTTGTTCATTTTCCTCTGGATAAATTGTACTTCGAGTTTTGAAATTCCCAGATGACACAAGCTGTACCTTTAAACGAAGGAGTTTGAAGTCATTATTTAATCTGCAAATGTTTTGTTTGTTTGTTTATTCGTATTTATTTTGGAAACTGACCTTTGGCAATAAGCAGACACTGCTGTGGGTTTTTATGCTGACAGACTGGGTGGCCAATGTGATTAAAATTAATAACGACAAGATGACAAGTTGTTTTGATGTTAGGAGTTGGACTTAGATGCTGTTGATATTGAACTTGATATATCATACATGTTTTTATTTTTTACCTGTACATGTAAAACTATTATTACTTTTTTTTGTCAAAAGATTTATTTAAAGAAGCGTTATTAATTACAGTACACATTTTGCCCTATACTATACAGTATGTTGGATGGAAAAGATGTGCAGTATCAGTTCAAATATACATCTAACCAATGTGCTAGAGTTCTCTCTATAAATATTTAATATTTGATGGTATCATTTGTTCCCTTTGTCATTACTGATGGATTTTCTGATATTATAATCAATGTGACACTCCAGTGTCTTTCTTTGTCCTTTATTTTTTTAATGGAATATTGATTTTTAAATGGATAATGAATGTTGTTTCATTGGCACTTATTTTGTGTGTATTAGTGTGTATATTCACGTTTTATTATATGTTATATATGTGTCAAAACTGAAGAATTGAAGTGCTCATGTTGCATATAAACCATCTCACTCTTATACCTATTGTCACAATCCTCTTGCACTATACTGATCATTAAACATTTATCAAAGGAAGATAATGTCTGTATAAAATGTATAAAATAAAATGAGTACAGCTACTTGAAATGCTTTATGGGCTGATGAAGATTGTGCGTTCAAGTCAGGCATTAAATTTAGTTGTTTAACTTGAAGTGTGTCTGAGGTGCTGCTCTGCAGACTTCTTCAGTGGTTTTCAGTAACTGACATCAAAGCAAGCCTATCCACTGTGGAGTTGTTACCATGGGTTTTCTTGTTTAGTGAGAGCTGTCGGCCTCTTCATTTCCATCGAAAAGGGAACAGAGGAGAGGAGACAGAAAGTGAGAAAATACTGACAAAGAAATGGAAACCAATAAAAGGAATTTATAATGAATAGTGACTCTGATGGAGACACCAGTGTACACATTAAAGCATGTTTCACACTGTGTTCCAGGAGTGTCTCTACTACAAAGGCCAAGAGGATAATCCCTCAGGGTGTCTGTTTCATCCTGACTAAGACAGTTAACAAAATACTACCTAAATCTCTTCCCACTCCAACCATCCTACAAACTGTTGAGTTTCAAAGGTATATAAATAATAAATTCTGGCTGTTTACACATACAAAAGTCGTTGCTTTATTTAAGTATTTAGTTAAAAGTCAGCAGGTTCCAACAGGCAACGTAAATATTTCTAATTCCATAAACCTTCTTTTAGTCATTGATATAAAGGGGCACCAACTTTACACATTAGGTTCAGTTCACACGTCATGGAGAGTGCTGTGAAAACAGTTATATAATCGTCTTCTGTGAATCTGGAGGAGCTTCCCAATGTTTAAAAAAAATAACCCTGATGTCCTCAGTGTGTTGTCATCTGAGTGTGGCAGGGAAGTGTTTGTTTTTATGTGTCACTTCCCTGCAAGATGTTTGACAAGTAGTTATCATTCTATAAAAAGGCCAAAGCTTTACTATTTTGCTTTGGTATCTCAGTAGCAAGATGTATCCCTCCTCTTTTGCTCCTTCTGAGGTTCCTCTCCACCACCGATTTTTTTTCTCTTCTTTTTCCTTGTCAAGGGTCTGAAGATGTAAAACCTACTGAGGGAGGCACATTTGTGATTTGGGCTTTATAAGTAACATTTACTTGACTTTAAAAAAATGACAGTATGTGCCAAATTTCTTTTATTCTTAACTTGACCTGCCACTTAAAAACTTGACCTGAATTTCTGATATCAGGCAGTTGTGTAAACTTGTTTTCATTTTGAATACATAGTGTCATAGTGTTGTTAAGGAAGATATCAAATTGCACACATCTAAGAAAAAGTCTAGGATAACACAATAAAGTTTATTTCCTTATTTCTTTTGTGGACCTTGATGTTTTTTTAAATAGTATGTAAAGTAGATTACACTTGCAAATTTCCTAAAAGCAATAATCTGACTTTCTTTTTTTAAAGTTATTGTGTCCCCAACAACCAAGACAAGCATAATGATAAAAATGATATCATGGAAGTTCATCCTTTGCTTGCCCCAGCTGCTAAGAGTCTTCTTCCAGTCCTCCTCACAGTGAACATGAGCCTGGAAATAAATCCGGTGCATCCCCCAAGTTGGTTATTAAGACCTCTGTATGCATCTGATCTGAGCAATTAGAACAAAGAGAGGCGACGCTCGCCTCTGCCTGGCCCCTGACAGAGACACTAAACACATGCAGGTGTCCAGAGCAGGCTCTTTGAAGAAAATTACAGCGTATGTGCCCACAGAATGACAATTAGGGTCAGGTTATCAGCAGGAAATAAAGGGCTACATCATGGGATAGACAGCCTGTAGGGTATGGGAGAAGGGTGTATTTATACATAATTAATCCACTGTGACATGTTAGTGGTGTGTAACGTTTACGGTTGGTTATGTCTGTATTTCCCACCAGCAGAACATGAAGCAGCCATGACTTTACAAATAGAGCACAGTATGGAGCATTCTACAGTGTAATGGTGCAAAGACATTTTCACTTTATTGTAGACACCTGCAGGGGGCATCATCTGCCCTGTTTTATCATCTGAAAACTCTCCAACAGAGGTTCAAGCTTGTTTTATATGATTTTTAAAATTCTAATTCACTAATATTTTGTTCTATTTACTTTACACAACTGCTGTAGTTTATTCCACTATATCAGAAATGATGTTGTACTTTCAAAATGTATGTATGCTCTATACAAATTATATGGTATGACATGCTGCAGTGCCAGGAATAGGCCTCAAGAGAGAGGTATAGCATCACAACCGAAATACAGCAGACACGAGTTTGTCTATCAAGCTGTATGAAATTGAAAATCATTTTGACGTGTAGAATTTACATTGTAGAGGACTTCAGATGCTGTTATTCATTTGCAGGTATGAGGAAATGCTCTTACTCTCTCAGACTCGTGTGATCTATGATGTAAACCACAAATGTTGTCTGTATGTCACCCAGGACACAGGACATCTAGAAGTTCTGTACATCTAAATATGTCTTTTTCCATCGGTGCTGTATTCTGAAAGAAATGTAAAATCATACCTTTACCAAGGATATGCAAAATTACGTATGTGTGTAGGTATAACCCCTAAGTAAAATACTGTACTTGAGAAGATGTATTTCATTCACACAGATAATTAAGTCTTGTGAGATTAATTTGTGGCCGTTAAAGATGTAAGAAATATGTAAGAAACATATTTGTGTTTTTAGTGCTAGTATTTATAAATAAACTATAATCTGCTTTACTATGACTACCACAATGATAACTATTGGGTTTGTGTCTAATAAAGTGTTTATCTGTCTCTGTCATTTTCCCATCTTATAGTCACCCCAAGTGACAAAAAATGAACTGTAAAACAAGGCCAATTGGTTTAACTGCATTTGCTATAATAATCTCTGCTCCATGAGCTCTTTAGAGGATTTACAAAGGATTACAACAAGGGATTAGAGCGTGCTGTAATCAATTTTACAGTTTTCGCTTGCAATGTGATGGACAATATTAATTTAAGCTAACAAAGATTGCTTTTTAACAACAATAAGCACAATACATTAAAACAACATAAAAGTATGTCAAGCAGGCTGAAAGAACTGTTTAGTAGAACCTTAGAATTTGAGATTTAATTTCATCACCAACAGTTATTGGAAACCAGCATAAAATGTAGACACTTTCAGTGTGGAGCAGAGAGAGACCAATATTAAATTGTGAAACATTAACCATTCATTCCCCAACAATTATCACTTCAACACTTTAACAAACAAATACATAAATAAATATTTTTTGAGAACCCCTAAATGCGAAACATGACACTCAAACGTTCTCAGGTGCAATAAAAAAATGCATCTGCTTAAAATCATGAACCTCTTTGGTTATTCAAAGTATCTACATATTGAATGCAGTGAGTGAAATAAGTTAGTGAGTAAAAGAGTTTAAATCAGCCCACACATTATAAAATCACATACAAAAGAAACTCCAGAGCTAGATATATGCCTTTAATTCTTAGGACAGTACAGGATGTACAGTTAAAGAAATGTGATGAACATTGCTGTAAACCTGTACAAATAATGATATTTATTTTAAAAAATCAAATTAATAAATTACAATAATGTAATTTATTTTTTAAATATTTTTTAAATGCCCAATGACAGTTTTCTCTACCTTATTAATAAATCAATTACATGTTGGCTAACATTTTGTCTTTTGACACAGTAGAAAATAATACAAATATTTTTATGTTTATAAACATTGAATATATTTAATTCAAAAATTAACATTGTTGATCAGTGTCCCTTGCTATTGTTTCCAGTTTCACCTTTCATGCCTCTGCCAGATCTTATTTATAGGGAAAGACATGACTATTATGATTTTTGTTTTGTCATGATTATAAAGTCCTTAAACACACATTTGCTGTCCTGCACTTCTCACAGCTGTGTTTATGTTTTATACTGTTGCAAAAATGTATGATTGACTATTGAAACTGATCTAGGTAGACACTGTGTGTAAATTCTCTTGAAACATGCTCGTAATAAATGAGCACAATAAATGATCCTTTAAATGAACTTCAATTAACAATGATCTCCAGTGAATCTAACAATTATTTTCATCTTGGATAAAAGGGGAGATATAAGCACATATCTGTTTAGAAACTCAGACTGCCGGTGATCTCTCCGAAAATCCTCAAGATGCTTCTCTTTGTCTTGGTCCAAAATCTAGATTTAGAGTGAGGAACTAACCCCTAGTAAAATCAGTAAAATCTCTTTTCCAGTACAACATCTTTTTTTTTAAACACTACCTAACAATTATTAATCATAGTGGCAGCAGTAGTAGAAGTAATAGAAATTGTGGAAGTATAGTATTAGTGTTTGTTGCTGTGTATATTTTTCATGTAAGTAAAACCATGTAGTGTGTATATTTTTCATGTAAAAACATGCGGCCATATGTTGACATATACATGAATAAAAACCTGATAACTGAATACAATTATATAAATACAACTGAACATATTTTCATGCACAGTGAGTGTACACAGGCAGGCAGGTAGACCAGCCAATGATTACATTCATCCCTCACAGCAACAGATTGTGGATGGGCTATTTTGTGTGTGTGTGTGTGTGTGTGTGTGTGTGTGTGTGTGTGTGTGTGTGTGGATGTCAGAGCATTTAATTTTGCTCATCTGTAGTCCAACCAACTGAGTTGACCAGAATGTAGGTGAGAGGTTGTTGGAGCTTCGTGGTCTAGGCACAATGGAAGGCCAGTTTGGGTTTAGATCAGGACAGATGTGTAGAAATCTACCGTGAATCGACCAGATAAAACTGTGGTTACTCAAAAAGACTTCTCAGGCTCCCAGTCCTATAGGAAATGAGAATGTCCAATTGTAAACGTTTGATTTTGAATCTGCTTAGGTAACATTGTTTAATGAAACATTCATGCCAATAAAGCACACTGAACTGAACTGAACTGAAATGCAGAAGTTCTGTCCCTCGCCACTGTCATCTTCAGCAAGTGGATAGACACAATAAGCTTGTTTGTCGATGTCTGGAATCACTCGCAGCTGAAATCAACTTCATTACAGTTTCTTATTTTAGAGAAGAAACTGAAACCTTTTCACCGGATAGTGTACTAAGTACTCCGCTTAATGTGTTGGGTGTTAAGACAGTTAATGAGGCTACCTTTGGTGTGGTAAGGTCATCTGCAATTATCAAACATTTCAGTTGATTTAATTTGAATCACAGATTTATTCATGTACCACTGACAAATACAGATACAAATGTGCCTTTATAGATAAAAATAAAACAGAAATTAAAGAAGCAAACAGATTTCTTCTATGTAATCATGTTAATGATGGATGGATGCATGTTGCATATTTGCACCCATTTCTCGCAGGATTTTCTCTTTGTCAGAATTCAATCTATAGCTAAAGTTACTATATTGTAAATGCAGGATAGTTTTATACATACCTGCCTATCCACCTGTGGTTGTAGTATAAAATTACACAAAATTTACAATAAGGTAAATTTAATTATAGACTGTATTGTGACGAAAATAAAAAGCTGAAATGGACTATCACTAGGCATAAAATCTACATTGAGCAAGCCAACAATCTACATTAAAAAAGCAAAAAACTACCTTAAACATTCACAAAGTACAAGAAGCAGGATGGATGAGGATTTTCACTTTCTCTCAAGATATGCTTAAGTCACACAAGAACGCACATGTGCTGGTGTTCTTACCTCTCTTTGAACAACAACTCTGAAACTGATTATGTTTTGTATGTATTACCTTTTCTCGCAGGTCCATATTTACAACAAAAAGATCAGTACATACACACATGTACTCAAAGAGGCTAATAATATATTTGTTTTAAACTTAATTAAAGACATATCACATATAGTCCTTACGATTTCAGGTTTGATTTTCTTGTTTACAATTCGTTTACTGCCTAAAGGCTATTGGCTAAACTTAATTCCTACTCTTTAATCAGGATTAAGAGAATCCCGCAGACCTGGAAATTGGATCAGTTTACTTTGCTCTAATCTTTCTAGCCAGCAAGTTTAATTACTGACCTTTAACTCCTGTACCACTTCACAGTCCTGTAATCCAATTTTGGCAATGTAACAGCAGTGTTAGTGGTGAGGTATAAAAATCACACTGCACATCTCTGGCTCTCATGTCCATCAGTGCTTTTGGGTTCTCCAGGCGAAGAAGCTCAACAGATCATCAGACTAGTGAAGATGGCTTGGGACGGAGGATACGAGCCCAATGGTACAGAGGGCAAGAACTTCTACATCCCCATGTCCAACAGGACTGGGATTGTTAGAAGTCCTTTTGAATACCAACAGTATTATTTGGTAGATCCCATCGTGTACAAGCTTTTAGCTTTCTACATGTTCTTCCTGATCTGCACCGGAACTCCCATCAACGGTCTAACATTGTTTGTAACGGCTCAGAACAAGAAGCTCCGGCAACCTCTCAACTACATCCTGGTCAACCTGGCTGTGGCAGGACTGATCATGTGCAGCTTCGGATTCACCATTACCATCACATCTGCCCTTAATGGCTACTTCATTCTCGGACCCACTGCCTGCGCTGTTGAAGGATTCATGGCCACACTTGGAGGTTTAAGTAAACTTTATTCTTTCATGCTACTTGAACAGCTTCTTAAAATTGTAAAGTTTCCTCAGTACTTTGACATTTACCACAGAGCAGTTAGCATGAAACACCATATGTTAAAGATGACAATTACTGACGTATACTGAACATAAATTGGGCATTCAGCTTACTTAAAAACATCCCTTGTCTATGCCTTTCCTCTCTGCAGGTGAAGTTGCCCTCTGGTCACTGGTAGTCCTGGCTATTGAAAGATACATCGTTGTCTGCAAACCCATGGGAAGCTTCAAGTTCTCTGGAACCCATGCGGGAGCAGGAGTCGCTTTCACCTGGATCATGGCCTTTGCATGCGCTGGACCCCCACTTTTTGGCTGGTCCAGGTATTTCTCATATGTATTAGTCATTTGATTTGCAATAAATATTAGTTTAAATCTTTACACCCTGACAGCATTTATTAAAATTAATTGAGAACTGCTCAAACCAATCATCCAGGCTAAAGAAAATGGCAGGGCATAGTCATGGTACATACTGTAAATGCAGAGCTTGTTGTATGGATAAAGTCTTACTGATTATTTTTTTCTTAAACTTCACACAGGTACCTTCCTGAGGGCATGCAGTGCTCCTGTGGACCCGACTACTACACTCTGGCCCCAGGCTACAACAATGAATCATACGTCATCTACATGTTTGTTGTCCACTTCTTCGTTCCCGTCTTCATCATCTTCTTCGCTTACGGAAGCCTTGTGCTGACTGTCAAATCTGTAAGTGAAGTTCATGAAACCTAAATAAAAGTAGAATTATTCCATAGTTTATTTTCATTTAAAGCTTTGCAAAACTGTGTGTGCTGTGAATTCTGATCATGGTATTATGGTCACAATCTCTTTAGGCTGCAGCCCAGCAGCAGGACTCAGTCTCCACCCAGAAAGCCGAGAAGGAAGTAACACGTATGTGCTTCTTGATGGTCCTTGGCTTCCTGGTAGCTTGGACGCCATATGCCACTTTCGCTGGTTGGATCTTCTTGAACAAAGGAGCTGCCTTCACCGCCCTAACAGCAGCTATCCCTGCTTTCTTTGCAAAGAGCTCAGCTCTGTATAATCCTGTTATCTACGTATTGATGAACAAACAGGTTGGTTTATATGAAAATTATCTTACTTTTATTTTTCAGGCTTTAATCAACCACACTGCACATTACATGCTTGCTATTTCAACATTCTTTGTGCTCTTTTTCAGTTCCGTAACTGCATGCTGAGCACTATTGGAATGGGCGGCATGGTGGAGGATGAGACTTCAGTTTCTTCCAGCAAGACAGAAGTGTCCTCTGTCTCTTAAATATAGATACCTTTTCATATACCTGGACATTTTCCTTTCTACTGTGTTCTACTGTGTTAGGCCTACGTCTAAAGCTAGTAAGCAACCCTGGATAAATGACAGCATTCGCAGCCTAAAAAGGGAATGCAGGAAAGCTGAGCGCAGATGGAAAAAATCCAGTCTCCAAGACCATTACCTCAGTCTGAAGGATTTATTAATTAACTACAATAACATGGTTAAGGATGCGAGAACACACTATTTTTCTGAACTCATTACTACACATAAACACAATCCCAGGTTTCTGTTTAAGACTGTGGATCAGCTGGTAAACCCAACCCCTCCTTGTGCCTCAGCTGGAAGTAATGATGACTGTGAATTGTTTTTATCTTATTTTACCAATAAGGTGGTGTCAATCAGAGCCTCTATTACCCCCGCGGCCTCTTACTCAGAGGTTCCTCACCAGCAACAAGAGAGTTTTAACCAGTTTTATCCCATCGACTTGTCTGAGCTTTTGAAAACAGTATCACAAATGAGAGTGTCCTCCAGCCCACTTGATGTTATACCTACAAAGTTTTTACTGAAACAAACAGCTCCCTATCTACTGGTTGTGTCCCTGATTATTTTAAAACGGCTTGCGTGAACCCACTTTTAAAGAAACCTGGTTTAGATCCCTCCCTCCCACGTCATTTTAGACCAATTTCAAAACTGCCTTTTTTATTGCAAAGATTCTAGAAAGAATTGTGTCCAAACAGCTGCTCACTGTACTGGAAAATAACAAAATATTTGAAAAGTTTCAGTCTGGTTTTAGGAAGTACCACAGCACTGAGACTGCCCTGCTTAAAGTCACCAATGACCTTTTAATGTCTGCTTATGAAGGTATGTGCTCAGTCCTGGCATTCCTGGACCTTAGCGCTGCTTTTGACACCATTGATCACAACATCATGTTAGACAGACTGAGGCACTGGGTGGGGATCTTTGGTACTGCCCTAGAATGGTTTTCATCCTACCTGTTGTAGTGAACAACGGTGTGGATTTGTGCATTTTATATTGAATAAATTTGGAGCTACTCTAAATTCCTTTCTCCTCCCCAGAGAAGAAGGGGAGGTGTCAGAGTTGCTTTCTCTAAGTGCTAGCCCGACCATAAAACTGGCACCTTTTTGATTCCGAAGCTGATAACGCGGGGCCTGACTGTTAAACTGACAAAGGGACACGAACCAGCCATTGGCCTCTCCCTGAACAGCCTATCAAAACTGGCCCCCCCACACATGTTTCCGTGGCAACTGACCTTATTCTTTGTTTTATTACCACATCAAAGGGATACTCCTTGTCTCACCTAGGTGTGACACAATCCAGGACAGCCGAATTTTGGATGACAAAGGACTGCAGTCTCCAAAGACTCAAAGCATTTAATTAAGTTTGATTAAATCTTTAGTTACCTGATTACGTTTGCCTCTATTTGAGTAGTTATGTCAACTGTTGTTGCTATCTGTTGTTATTAGTGCTGAAAACAAAGTTACTCGTCGGAAATGCCGTTAAATGTATAAATATCCTGACCAATAATGTGACAATTGTTTCCTTTTACCAAATGCTTAGAACAGTACAACCGTTCAACCATTGAGGTTCGATTGTGGAAAATATTTGATTATAATACGTGCAAATAGATTTCTTTTTAAACACTAAGTTTAGAAAGGCATTGGGAAACCTGAGACGCCCCCTGGGGAACCACGCCCCAGGCAACAAAAGAGCGACACGCGACCTCTCGCGCTCTTCTCTTCGCTGTTGGCTCTCTTCCACTCTGCTCTGCTCGCCGGACGCTTCGGCACGCGCGTGGCGTACCTCGCCAGGCAACGCCCAGACTCGCCCCAGCGAAACAGGCCTTTTGTTCGCCTGAAGCTACACACCTAAAGTGCCGCGACATCGATCTGCCTTCAGTTTGTTTTATTTTCTTTATTTCTTTTGTTTGTTAAAGTTATCAGTCCGTTAAGTTACACTGGACTAATTCAGGAACGACCAAGTTCCAAGGAATCCTGAAAACAGCCGAATTGCCAGACGGAGGAGGCGTTTTCAATCAGACACGGAAAACCCTGGAGAATCCCTAGCAAAAAGCCAGGATCAGGCAGCTAGCGTGGGACCCGTGCAACAGGCCAAAAGCAGGCTGTCGACAAGCAGTAAGACTTAACACACGTTCTGTGATCAGATATTTCCCTCTTAACTCCTAAAATCACAGCATTAGTTTATTTTCATTAGCTCTTCTATGCCTTATGAGTCAAATGCTTCCCACAATCGAACCTCCAGGCTCATTGTTTATGTTCCCTGTATCCAACCATCTTTTTATCACCTTAGTTAGAGAATAAATTCACTGTAATATAATCAAGAGCTGTGTGTGTTGTCTATTTCTAATTCCTGCCAAGAGAATTGACCCTTTAGATATGAGACTGACTGATTTAAGATAATTGAGCGATTATTAACTAACTGATCACTAGTAATAATTGTATAATTATTCAAAACTACCTACAGGTCCGGAGACTCTAGGATTATAACAACTCCGGTGGTGCCCTGAAACGAGGGAAATTTTTATTTTATGAATCTTCAATTATGAATTCATAATTGGGTATCAATTCTCATAAATTTATTAAAATGCATAACTATGAAATTTAGGTCTGCTACACTGTCAAATAGGAAGTTTTGCGTGTGTGTAAACAACTATGTCTCTTCGTTCTGTCCAGTTAAATATGGTGTGTCTCAGGGGTCGGTCTTAGGACCCATTTTGTTTTCCTTGTATCTGCTTCCCCTTGGACATATTATCCATAAACATGGCATTTCTTTTCATATTTATGCTGATGACACACAAATATACTTGCCTGTCAGATCCACAGACCCTGGAATGCTGAGTTCACGTAACAACTGCCTTTGTGAAGTTAAAAAATGGATGTCAAATAATTTCCTCCAGCTGAACTCAGACAAAACAGAAATCCTGGTCATTGGGTCCCAGCAGATGGCAAAACAAATACTGCCATCTGCTGGTTCCCTAGTAAATCACATTAAGCCTGTGGCAAAGTACCTTGGTGTTTGGTTTGATAGTAATTTAAATTTCGAGCAGCACACCACAAAGCTTGTTCATGTCTCTGCTCCTCCCTCTCCCAACCGGATGCTGAGAAGTTGATCCATGCCTTTATCTCCTCCAGGTTGGACAACTGTAATGCTCTCCTCGTCGGGATCCCTGGCAGGAGCCTGCAAAAGCTCCAGCATATTCAGAACTGCGCTGCCCGGGTCCTGACAAGGAGGCGCAAATACGATCATATCACTCCGGTTCTGAAATCCCTCCACTGGCTGCCCATTCAACACAGAATCCAGTACAAAATCTGTATCCTCACCCATCAGTGCATACATGGAACTGCCCCTGCCTACCTCAGTGAACTCCTCACCCCACACACCGCCTCACGAAACCTCCGCTCCTCCACCACTATCTACTGCCTGCACCAACCAAGGACTAAACTCTCCACAATGGGAGACAGGGCCTTCCAGGCAGTCGCCCCACGGCTCTGGAATTCCCTCCCAGAGACCCTAAGGGCCCCACAAACTGTGGAGGTTTTTAAGAAGGGCCTAAAGACATTCCTATTTCAAAAGAACTTTCAACACTCATGTTTTATTGCTATTTGATTTTGTTATATTCTGGGAACTGTTTTTAACCCCCTGCTACTGTAGCACTTTGAGATTTCATTGAAATTTAAAGTGCATTATAAATAAAATGTATTATTATTATGTTTTTATCAACTTAGAAATATAGCAAAAATTCTATCTATGTTAACTTTTAAGGACACCGAGACCATCTTACACGCCTTTATTTCATCACGCCTGGATTACTGCAACAGCCTTTTCACCTGTTTAACCCAAAAATCTATTGATCGACTCCAGACTGTCCAGAACTCAGCTGCCAGGCTTTTAACCAGAACAAAGAAATATGACCACATTACTCCTATTTTAGCTTCATTACACTGGCTCCCAGTATGTTTTAGAATTGACTTTAAAATTCTATTGATCACTTTTAAAGCTCTTCATGGCCCCTCGCCTTATTATATTTCTGACCTTTTAGTCCCATACACACCAGCACGTACCTTGAGATCCTCAGGCAGAGGTCTGTTGTCTGTTCCAGAGTCTCGACTGAAAACTAAAGGGGACAGAGCGTTTGCTGTCAGGGCCCCGAGGCTCTGGAACAGCCTGCCTGAGGAAATCAGGTCAGCTGAGTCAGTGAACTCTTTTAAGTCCCTTCTTAAAACATACTTTTATAGGAGAGCCTTTCCCGATCTTATTTGACTTTATTTTATCCCTTTTATTTTATTCTATTTTACTAATTTTATATTTATCTTAAACGTGTATTTTAGTCTTTTCAATGTTTTCATGCTTTTATCTTGTATTGTTTTTGTATTATTGTCTTTTGGGTATTATTGTCTTTACACTTGTTAAAGCACTTTGTAACTTGTTTTTGAAAAGTGCTCTACAAATAAAGATTATTATATTATTATTATTATTACTCTCTTTAATCTGGAATAATCCTCCATCCATGAGTAAAGTTCAGGGACGTCTGAACTACTTTACCAATGATGAACGGCTCTTGGAACAAACTCATGAACTGCATTTTCTCCTCTTTTATTTGAAGAATGTAGAAAAGTGTTGATGTGTATGTGGATGCTCACTTTGACTTTCCTTGCTGTCAGAGGCCCAGTTGTCACTGAAATCTTTCAGTGGGAACACATTTTGTTTTGTTTTTTCAAAATGAGCAACTATATACAATGTAAAACCATTTTTGTCACTTACTGAGTTGGTCATCATGAATTGTAAACATTATATATATTAAAAAAACATCATAGATAAATAAATACATGCATGAAAATGTGTTGTCAAATTGACTTCATTTCAAACAACAGGCCATAATATGTCACAGTTGGGACTTAAAAAGGTGTTTATTCATGAGACATTCATTGAAGCTTGTGTTTCTGCTGTTGATGTTGTTCAGCACTAGA